TTTATTTTTATTTTCTGATTTTCACAACTCCTGAAAAGTATTTCTTCTCACAATTACTATTTTCCACCCCATTTTGTGTTCAACATTGTGTTTTAAGGCAAAATTACCTCATTACTATGCATTCTTAAAGTGTCACAGCCTTGGCCTCAGATATAACTGAGCTACTACTGACCTAACTACTCTAGGGCTCAGCTCATTAAAACATATTTCTGTCCTTGTCATGCAGCTTGTTCCTCATTTTAAACCTCAGTTCTGCAGGCTGAAAAACTACATGTTAATGGAATTCATGAATAGAACACCTTTGTCTTTCAGCTGGACTATTATACTGTATATATACTGTATATGAATATATTTCATATCCATCCCAGAGTGAAATTAAATTTGGTTCTGGATGGTTGTCGTATGTTTTTGTAGAAAGGAAGTGAGTGACAGCCAGACACAAATATGTGACAGCAAAATTTGTTCTTGTTCAGTCCAGTGAAATCAGGCTGAGCTGTATGTACCTTTTTATATCTGCCACTTTTACAGTAACAGCTAAGAATACATATCCTTCCTACAGGCTAGTAGATACAGTATCATTAACATCAGCATCATTTAGTTGGTTTTACATCCATCTCCTTTGGCCAATCATCTGCTGTGATTTGGGATAGCTGCCTGCAGGTTAGGGTGGAGGCAGGTGATGGGACTACATCCCCTCTCATGATTATCCACGTCACACTTTTCACATTACAGTGTTGCGATGCACTTCTTGAGAACACACATTAACATGGAGTGAAGCTGTGTTTGAAAAACAACCTGCACACACACATGAATCCTGTCTGCTGTGGGACATGACAAAGAAGTTCACTGAACAATACGCTCAGCACGGTCCTCTGTATAATCCCTTCACCCCTTATCCAGCATGTATCCACAAGAACCTTCATTCACAAAGATAAAACTGCTGTTCTACATAGAGACAAACTATTCTGGTAATTTCTTCAGTACATATTAAATGTCATACACTTGTGCATGGATCGGTCCAATTACTGGGGCAGTAAAACATCTTTATCTGCACATTTTGATCCATAAAACCGTAAACAATCTGCACAGTCCCAGACATTCTACACAACCAGCGCACCGCCATTATGCATGACCATTATGCACAGACACACGGCCAACGAATACCGTTTGAATCCGTGCCGTTTTGCCTGAATCCCAATCTAGACTAGACTGAGGTCAGATATATTTTCTGGGGCTGCTTTAGGGATCACATGTGCTGTGACATAAATGCTGCTGTCCCTAATTGAAACTGTGACATTGAAAAGGCATTACGGGCTGAACGAGCAGTCTGGCCTGAAAGGTGAACTTCTGCTGCCCCCTAGTGTCAGCAGGCCAGTCATGTTCTGGGTTGTGGGGTTTTTATCTCGGTGGCTTTGTCGTATGATTCCTTTAGTTCCCCCACCAAGGAGGTTTAGTTATTATCATTGTTTGTTGGTTTGTTCACAGCATAACTCTAAGAGTTATTAATGGATTTTGATTACTTTTTTTTGGAGGGGGGTGGGACTCCAAGTGCTGTCTTGTTCTTCATTTGACATGAAAAATTTTAAGATTCCTCTCCTCAGCTCTTCAGCTCCTCTCACAGTAACAGGAGTAATTCTCAACCTTTGATCCCGTTTTGTTTCTTACGATGCTAATGGACTAAGACTTAAAGCTTCAAGCATTAATTTAATTATTTTAAGCTGCCATAGAGAAAAGCATTTACTGGTGGTTTTTATATTGTTATTTGAAATGTAAAGTATACATTTAAGAAGGCTGTGAAATGACTGAACTGGTTTTATGACTTCAGGGATTTTGGGTCCTCCACGTCTCAGTGAACCAGTAGCTGAATGGTTTAAAGCTTAAGGGAATAGCTTATTTTAAAGCGCTGGAGCACACATATTCATCAAGAAATCTTATTATCCACCTCCACACTCCAGGATTGTGTCACTGACCTCTGACACCAACTCCAAGGTCAAAGCTTCATGCCAATAGATATTTCAGAATCACGATATCACACAGATTTGGACATTTTGTGTTCTTGTGTGAAAACAGCCAATGTGTGCTTTGACAGATCCTGCTCCTTCACAAACAATCCAGATGTACTTACCAAAGGTCGGTGCACTTTACACAACACAGGAAAAACAGGATACCGTGTGTTATTGTTCCAAGTGACATCGCATCTGACCAGACAGGCAATTTCAGAGAAATTTCTTCATCAAAGTCTTATCTGTCACACAGCTCAATGACAAATAACAGACTTCTCTTCATTTATGTAGACTACAGGTCAGGTAGTAGGACACCACCAGATAGACATAATAACGAAAATATCACATTTAAAAGAGCAGTGGTAGCCAAAAGAAGTCCAGTCAGAAGAACGCTAATGAGTTTAAGATCTGTAATCAGTGTGTGACTAGTTGTACCAAGCAGCTGCCACATTTGAATCCAGACCTAGAAACATTCCCAGGATGCAAAAAGTTTAAAGTTTAATATTCTGACCCTCTCATGTATGTGACCAGGGAGGACAAAAATATAGAGACCCCGCTGAATATAATGTAGTCCAGTACAACAACACCTTTAACTATGACCTCAGTAATAAACATAGAATTGAAATTATACATTTGACAATTTTACTAAATACAAACATTTAGAGCTCCATAAACACAGATGTTAAGGTGGAAGTGCTGCACTGAAGTGCATACAATTCTACAGGTGTACCTAATAAAGTGGCCAGACAGTGTATATAATTCTCTAGATACCACAAAATAAAAGTAAGCTTGATAACACCATTTCAACTGTAGGCACTGCTATAGTCAGATGATAAACTGCTACAACACAGTGGCCATGAATCTTGCTCACCATATTTGCACAATTCATCTGTGTCTAAAGGGTTAATAGTTGAATTTTAATGGTTTTATACTCTCAGGAAAAATCTGTGTATAATCATTACAGGACTGTACAACCTTGGCTAAAGCACTGTGTGTTTTCTAAGTGCTTTCTAGTTTTGTGTGTCTCACGATGAGATAGTGTTTTTATTGTTTTCTTTACTATTAACTTACTTGCACTCTTGGCCTCTTTTTTCAGTGAGACAATTAAACTCAGCCTCACATGCACTATCCATGTCCACCACACCTGTCCCCTCTCACCAATGAGAAGCCAGAATCAGGATACACCACGGACACGTTTTGCAGAGATGTACAAGCGTAGGGTGAACTCGGGTGTTTGCATTCACTTTAGCTTGTTCTCACATTCTCAGACAATTCTTTGTTCTCTGTTCTTCTCTCCGTGCTCAGTGTGGCCCACATGACACAAAGGTTGAGTCGAGTTTTCTCCATTTTAACTGGCTGCAAGTGATTTCTATGTTGCCAGCACCTGTTGATCACTACAGGTGAGCTTCATTACAAATTAAAGGAGCATCACAGGCTTGAAATACAACAATTTTTGATGAATTTGAAAAGGTGTCAATACTCTGTCCAGTCCATTTTTGGAATTCTGTGTGGAATGGATCAGAATTGACACCTCCCAAACCTCGACCACAGACTGACCCTGATGTCAATGCATCTGACCTCATTTATAACAGTGAATTGTCTGTGAGTGGTGCTTTACTCACCGAAATGTAAGATACATCATCAGCAACAATGTCTGTTATCAGTGTCTTATCACAGGGTGGAGCTGGACTTGTCCGGGTGAGGAGGAGGAGGGGGAGGCCTCCCCCACACAACAACTCTGAAACATTAACTTCTATGGATTTATGGAGGAAAAGGTGTGTTTACACAGAGATTAGCATCTCCACATCCAGGTTAACCTTCATCTATTTTACCCTTGAGCTATGGTCGCACAGTACGACCGCATGTGACCTGCTTGTGCAAGCGCTTCACTGTACACTGAGTGCCGTTTTCAAACCGAGACTTTGTTTTTATGGCTGATATTTTTTGTTTTTAGAAACCTCTGAATTCTACTTACATTTAAAATAAGATTCTGTGGGTTTGCCTGATATGTGGCTACACTTTAAGAACTTATTAGACCATTTAGATTGAACAAGGTCTCATAATTTCAAGATTTCTGAACTAATTTTATATTTGACATGCAATATGACACTCTGATACATTGGAGTGATATTGATTTAAAGATGTTAGAGGTCCGTCCTTCAGACATGAAACAGTTCAATGTCTACACCACATCTTAAAAGTGAAACTGAATGTTACCTAACAGAGTTAGATAAAAGCAGCAGTCAGTGAAAAGGATCTGATGAAGACTTCTGAGGGAAAACACTAAGACATGAAATAAATCAGAAGTAAAGATTACATGATCATTCTGACTCGGTGTCTAATATTGTTAAACACTAAAAATATACAATTTGGAAACAGTGGAACTTTGACATTTACGTGACAGCTTTAGTTTCTGGTTATGTTGAAGATTGGGATGTTGAGTGTTCTCTATACCTTACTTTTTTTGTTACTGTTTTTTGGTTTGTATTATACTGTCAAACACTCCAGTACTACTTGTAATATTATGTCACCCTACAAAATCCACAGGAATCAATACAGAATTCACATGCATCAGAGATATAAAATGCATACAAATGCAGTGTCCTGAGTTTGAGCCCTGCAGCGCTGTTCAGTGAGTTGTTTCTGTCTGTTCTCTCTCCTTGTTTTTCTGTGGTTCCTGCAGGTGCTCTGCTTCAGGAGTTATATTTTAAATATTATATGAACTCTGATGAACCGTCCTTCCACTCAGTCAAGGCACTGAATGCAGAAGTGGAGCTGGCACTGTTTCCCATCAATACCTAGAAAGGCTTAAAAGCAGAGGACAAATATCATCACAGGGATTAACTTTAAAACACATTGTTGACATGTTCCCCCATTTCCATGACTGTCTCTATAGGCTGCAGGACTTTGGACCGCTCACGTCTGATTGGCCGGGGGAGCTGTCTCGCAGATTCATACTTTGTTCTGATTGGCTGATTTTGCCAACAGGACTTTGTAGTTTGACAGCATAATACTCTAAAATCTATTTGATTTTCGCAGAAACGGCTCTGGCCAATGTATTATCAGTAAAAAAACGAAGCGTGTTTATTTTTCTCATTAGTGTCGCTGGGTTTTCATTGGGTGGCTGATGAGAGGCAGTCAGCTGAGGTTTGGATGTGCAGATCAGCTCAGAGTTGAAGATGCAAACCTCTAAGAGTATTCGTTTGGATGATTTTATTGCAGGATGGATCGGTGGTGAGCGATTCTAACTTATTTCCAGGGTTTTATTCAAAGAAAGACTGCTACTGCTCAGTGTTGGAGTTAGTTTAGTGTTTGTTGGGGGTCCATGCTCTCAGTGGCTTTTCATAACTGCATGTTTGTCCGAATTAAATCAGTTTTGCACGGAGGAATACACCGCGTCGCAAACAGGCAAAAGTTTGCACACAGAGTCGATTTGCAGGGAAACTGCTGCAGCCACACATAAGCCCTCATCCAGGGTAAACAGTGGGGGGTCTGCACAGAAACCTTGATTTTTATTTTTAACTATGCTGATAAACTCTCGGAAATGATTAGGGCCCATGTAGAAATAGTTAATTAATTAATTCTAATTAATTAGAATTCTATTGAGAAAACGGCTCTTTAAATGAAACACATACAGTGGCATGGCTGACCGCTAGGGGCGCTGCTACGGCATCTTTTTTTAGCAGTAAACAAAGTGGGGGTCTAATCTGACACTGTGATCCGGTTGTTGTCCTGATTATTCATACAGGGTGGTCCTATAACAGGTACAGCTCTTTTAAATTAATTAGTAAAAGTGAGAAGAACCAACCAGTTTAAAATTCACTAACAACTGTTACAAGTCAGATGAGATTCAGTTGCAAACCGCGAAAGAGAAACCAAAAAGTCCATTTTAAGATCCCTGAAAACCAAAAGAATAAGAGTTTTTAGTGGTTGGAGTATTTATGTCATAAAATAAAAAGAGATGCTTTGTGATGAATGTTGCTTTGAAAATATCAAACATCTGGCAAAGACTCAAACCTAAAGCTAAATCGATGAAAACTAAACAGGGTGAAAAGCTAAAAATTGGATAGAAATTGAACCAAATGCAAAATTCTGAATTACTGTTTTCTCAGTAAATGGTATGCTGATATCAAGTTTTTAAAGTTTTGTTGAGGCAACCGACAATGGAACCAAGTAGGCAGCCCTTTCATTTGTATTCTCTCACTGTCCCTCAGCGACTGAAATAGCCGTGGTCGTTCAGTTAAAGGCCCACAGTGTTTGTTAATTGGGTTTCTAATATGTGTGCTGTGTGTATATGATGGGTATTTGGAGTATATTTGGAGGCACACTCATATATAGCGTGGGAGGAGCAGGGACTAATTGGGGCACATAGCTCATGTTTACACCAGGGCCTCATGAGGGGAGTCTAGTTTGACTAGTCTCTGTTACATTGCTCCCTGAAAAGTTTGATCTCAGACAGAAGAACATTTTTATACATATTTTTGTGATTTGTAAGCAAACCTTTGACAGTTGTTTTGAAGCTTACTGAGGGTGTGTTCATTTAAACTGAAATGGCTTGAAGTGCATCGTAAACCAAAAGTCCATAACATTTATCCCATAATGGAAAATTAAACTAAAGTCAGTCAGTAAAAGAGTGGTTAAGAAAGAAAGAAATTGTTTTTGGTGAAAGACTTCCACCTTCAACATGCTGCTTTTATCTATGGTTTTATCTTTTAGTTCCATTTTTGTGATGAGTTTCACTTTGCAGTGATATTCTCAGTTGTTTCCTTCTGACAAACAGTTTCATGGTAATAGTTATCTTTTCTTTCCTCTGGTATTTTGTGCATTCACGTTTTTCCTTTTGCTTTGCCTGCAGGAGCTTCCAGTGTGGTTGTGGGCCACCCACTGGACACAGTGAAGGTAAATTAAGACCTGATCTACAGCATGATTTTACCACACTGCACTCAAACGGTACAACTGTTTTAGCCCATTTATATAAAAGAGCTCATCAATGCTTTCACTGAAAACTTTTGTAGCACATTCTGGGTTATTTATTGCTGTGCACAAACAAGTAAGATGCATTTCCCTGTTCACTACGGGGAGAACTTTATTTATTCTGCATCCACGTCTTTTGCAGTTTTTTTTTTCATAAATATGCTTAATTTCGATTGTGTCTGTTCAAACAGACACAATCTGTTTGAACTCCTCCCCTCTGGACGGCATTACAGGTCACTGTGCACCAAGACAACCAGTATTAACAGTATTAACATCAACAAACAGTGCAAACAATGCAGAATAAGCAGTATAAACAGACAGTAAACAATGCAGACAGTCAAGGAATGTTTGTTGAAATGAGATAAACAGGAATAAAAATAGAGTACTTAAAACTAGAGACCTATATGAGTCTGTATGATCTGTACGAGGTATAGTTACAGGTGTTGCACTGAGGGTTATTGTCCA